CGATGCTCGTTTCGACCATGTTGATCTGAATTTGGTAGGACCTTTACCAGATTCAAATGGATACTCTTACCTCTTAACCTGTGTAGATCGTTTCACTCGATGGCCAGAGGCAGTACCTATTAAGGACATCACTGCTGAAGCAGTGGCCCGCACCTTCGTCGAACGATGGGTAGCAAACTTCGGCTGCCCTTCAACCGTCACTACAGACCGCGGACTTCAGTTTGAGTCTAAACTTTTCCGTCGTCTGACCACACTATTAGGAAGCACTCGCTTCCGAACGACCGCCCACCATCCACAAGCAAACGTTTCACAGTGGACCGACGCTCTTCCACTCGTCTTACTAGGTATCCGCAATGCAGTGAAAGCTGACATTGGATACACTGCAGCTCAACTCGTTTATGGAACGACACTTCGACTTCCAGGAGAATTCGTGGATCCTTCATCCTCTTCAATGAGCATGGATCTAACCTTCTACACGAACAGGCTTACAAACGCAATGCGTTCAGTTAAACCTGCTTCCACTCGACCACAATCCATCGATGTTTTCGTTCAACCTGATTTACGATATAGTACACACGTTTTTGTTCGTCGAGACGCACATCAATGAACATTCGAATCAACATACAAAGGACCTTTCAAAGTTCTTCAACGCGAATCTAAGTACTATATAGTCGATAAGAACGGAACAAACGATAGCATAAGCATCAATCGCTTAAAAGCAGCGTAATTAGAAGGAAATCCTATTCACGTCGATTTTCCTTCGGTATAATCGCACAACACGACTCCCACACTCATAATTCTTCAACCAACAACCAACACTAGCGATGACACTCCGAATGTGTCTGTAAATAAACTTAAAACGACACGTTCTGGAAGAAGAGTAAGATTTCCAGAACATTTAAACGACTATTGCACGTAAGGCACTACTCGACATTTTATATTATCTCGATCTTCCTTTTTACGATATATAACAATTTTTTTAAAAATACAATTTTAATATGCTCATATATTTATATTTTCATTTACAAAAAAAAACAAAACAAAACAAATCAAATTTTTTAACGCTATTACGTGTGCTTGAGTTTATTTTCTTTTTTTTCATAGACATTGTGTTTTTACGTACATACGAGTGTATTTCGACATGCACTTACATTTTCTTTTTTTTCCAGGACGGCTGGAAAAGAACGATGCAGTTTACGAGGAGCCGAAGTTTTCATTTTACTTTTTCTTTTTTTACTATGTTGTACTTCGGTCCCATATAGTAAGGAAAGACGGCCAGACGCTACTAAATTTAGTAAGCTATCAGAAGAGTGCTTACCAACGACAAACGCGTTGATTTTAAACTTCTGGCTGGCCACGTCTTAGGGTCATCACTGCCCCACTAGGGGGGGAGTGATCTGTAGCGGTAAATAAATCCCCAAACTAAATAGCTCTGTAAGTTTTCGACATTGGATGCTGACCATATGTTTTAGTGGACTCATCTAGCTGAAGGCACTCGGTCATGCATCCGCACCAGATCACGTGTGGTAACGCTGTGCTCAACATCTACCATAATCGCTAGCCAGATTAGATCAGAGAATTCCGATATATTGGTTATCGCCAAATACACTCTTCCGATCTCCTCGACTCTGTCTTTTGATTTCTCTCGGTGGGAACAAAGTATATTAGGTGTTACTGGTAGAAGTGTTGTCAAACACTGAATACCTGTATCATCCTCACTATATGTCACCTGACCAAGGGTGTTACCTATGGACTGAAAGAATACAGTCGTCACTCCCACACATAAAACAAGACCAAGACGACATTCATCGAACTACAGACCTGTCAGCCTCACCAATGTTGTAGTTAAAATAATGGAAAGAATAGTCAGAAAGACTATAACGACATTTGTGGAAGTCAACATGTTAAACAGCGAATAACATGGTTTCAGAAAACGTTTATCTTGCACAACAAACCTTCTTATAGCAGGGGAGCATTTGGTGAAGGTGCTAGACAAAGGAAAACAAGCGGGTGATCTTATCCGCAACGCAACCATGTAAACTTAATGTACCGGTCATCTGTGCGTTCAAGTAACCACAGATTTTGACATTTCATAATGTATTTTTAATTAAATAACTAGATTATATAGCTAATTTTGATCTTTTTTTATATTTTTATTCGCCACGTTCGACTGCGTTACACTGCACGTCCTTCGCATACTGGGATGATATCTCAAGTCATAGTGAGTTTATGCACATAGTTGATTGTTTCCAGATAGACTGTCAGTGCATGATTTTACTGTAGAAAGGTTTATTGTACTATAAACTATGTTTTTATGAACAACTACCTGTTGTTTTCAGTCGGAAAGCAATATATATATTCTTTGTCTTCTGCTCGGTAAGTTCAATTGGCCTATATTTCGTGTTTTTGTTTTATCGTCTTAATTATGTCCATTTAACTACTTTAAGCAATATGCCTGTGCAAATGAAACAATAACTATGACACTTGCTTAGTTTAGTATTCTTGGTTGTCGTATAATTCAGTTTAGTTGAAAGAATTATGGTATACTTAAGTATAGTGCTTGAAGCCTGTAACGAAACAGATCAGTCTAGTAAGTAGAGTTGCCTGTTTCTGATGAGTATACTGATTCAAATCAGTCTGATTAAAAATAGGAAAAAAGTACTTTTGTTACTGTTGCTGTCATACATTATAAGATAGCGATAAGTATGTTTGGTGTTTATTTCTAGATTGTACATCTATCACTGACCATATTTCATGATCACTGTCATTAAACAATTTCCCCAGCAATAACATCGGTAGCAGGATAGCTAAGTATCTGAGCTTTTATTTGCCCGTAGAAGAGCAGTATACAGTCTTAGAAGATGAGTGTTCTGTATTTCAATTAAATGCAGTTGGCTGTGGACAAATGTTAAGAATCTTTTTGACAACTAGGACTTTTAGTTCATCAAACACTAAATCTGCTTGTATGTCTCCCTGTTAAACTAGATGCAGATACATGGTAATACTTAAATGAGAGCAAAATAATAAAAGCATTGAGATACGGTATTAAGTCCATGTTATGCTTTGCACAATAAATAGCTGACCTGACCTAATATTCATGAACTAAAGGTAAATCACAACTGCATAAATTCTTTGCTAAAATACATGTAATTTGGTTATTTATCTATTCCACATTTCTGACTAAATTCATTACTGTTTTCTCATTTAGAATGCAACAGGACTGAGTCTTCACAGATGTTAAGAACTGTTTCGCCCTTAGAACTATGGCCCAATGGATCTGTTTACGGGAGACCCAACTAACAGCAGATTATAAAAAGGATGCTGGATGTCCATTTTAATCTCACAACCACTTCCAGTACTTTTTGAGTTACTTCTTTTACCGTTTCGTTTGGAAAAAACAACAAAAACTGCAGCTTAACATTACAAATGCAACTTTTAGACTGGAACTTGGTTTAAACCTTTGTTTCATATTCGATTCTTAATGAAAGTTCTCGAATAAATTTTTGAACCTAATGCTACTTTGTTTTATCTACTTAATCGTTGCAAGAAACTTGTGATAATCGAGCCTCTCATCACCTAATTCATGTGTTCAGGCTTCCGTGTCTATTAGCATTTGATCACCAAAACCTCCAAGCAGGAACCTAGGTATGTTAACAATAAAAGATCCAGTCGCCTCCCAAATGACTCCTGGGAAGTCGCTTGGACTAGTTCGGCGGGCAGCGAATTCCAGCATTCGACAACTCTTAAGGAGTAGAAGTTGCGTCTACAGTCCATTCTGCTATGTCGTGTCTCTAGTTTCTGGGACTAAGCTCAAATAGGTGTTTAAGAAAATGTCCAGAAGTGTTAAGGATCCTGTAAGTAAATAGGTCACCTCTAAGACGTCTATACTTTAATGAGTAGAGGTTAAGTGATTGGAGGCGCTCTTCATAAGGTGATTTGGTGCATATCTCCGTCACTTTCTTAGGAAACCTACAGGCTCGGGTCCTCTCACAACTTATTCTAGCCACCGTGAGTTGCCACGAAAACTGATGGATGGACACGCGTTACACATCCTAACCGTCCCTGCATCTAATCTCATAGCTTCTTATTCAAATGTCATATGATAAGCAAGTAATGCTTCTACCGACACTAATGGAACACGAGTAATTCAAAGGCACCCTGTATGGTACTTTACATTGGTCTACGCACTCACTTAGCTCTTTAGTGGGAATATTACTACAGTCCTGCTAAAAAACCCATGAACCCCCCTACCACCATCAAAACAATAAGTCTGTATTTGCTGCATATAGCAATTTTATTTTTCAGAAGATATAACAGTAAGAATTGGAGTAAAATAACAATATACAACAGATGCACGTGGTACATGTCTTCATCGATCATCTGAAATAGAGAATACGGATATTAGCTTAACATGCTTATTTAGAAAGACTAGTTTACTTTGAACTTACTGTGTGAGAAAGTTATACTGGAACTGTGAATAATGTAGGAATCTAGTCTCCCAGGGCGTACGAAGCACTCAAACTGGAGGACAGTTGTCACAAATTAATTCGAATATGAAGTTGAGAATTTGCAAGTACTTTTCATCGTAAAGGTGAACATATTAGATAACGGTTGACATCATACCGTAAAAATAACAAATTTGCGAGTGGTGAATTATGGTCTATAAAAAGCTGAGCTTAATAACAGTTAGTTACCTTTTTACTCCCTGATCATGACCCTTCGGCTTCCTTTTGTGGCCGAAACAGCAAACATACACTACACACTGATAGCAGATTTCCGGCTTTTCAATGTTAAGCTTGCTTTAACGCACTACGTAATGCGTACAACCCCTCCATTACTGCTATGTGGCATATTTTTTCATAACAAACCCTCTGCAATAGATTGGTAGCATCTGTGCTGATATTACGTGTTCCGGTAGAGAATTCCAGTAATTCACTACTCGGTGCGAGAAACGGAACTCCAGACGTAAACGGTTTGATCTCGGTTTTTGAACTTTCTTCGAATGTCCTCTCAAATGATCGGTTCTAGACGGGAGCAAAAGATAAGACATGTTAATACCAAGGTCATCGTTCAGTATACGATAGGCCAATATTAGATCACCCCTTATTCGACGGTAAGATAACGGAAATAAGTTAAGGTGTCTCAGTCTGTCTTCATAAGATAGGCCAGATAGACCTTGTACCATCTTAGTAGCTCGTCGTTGGACTCTTTCTAGCATATCTGCTTCATATTTGAAACAAGGATACGCTGCTTGAATCCCGTATTCTAAATGTGGTCGCACATAAATCGGGTATAGTAATCTAAACATTTCATCATCTAAATACTAGAAAGACCTACGAATTGACCATAATACCCTATAGCTTTTCGCAGCAGCAGTCTTACAGTGACTAGTCGTTTTGAGACCATTGCTTAATATAACTCCTAAATCTCTATAGTTTCTTGCTTTGGGTAGCACGAATCCACGTAGTGTATAGTCATACGATTCATCAGAGTTGTTTAACTGCATCACTACACTCTTATTACGATTTACTTCTAGTGACCACCTGTCTAACCATGCCACCAATGAGCTAAGATCGTCCTGTAATACTATTCTATCCGACATACTATGTATAGGTCTCCAAATGTTTATGTCATCAGTGAAGAGTAGAACGGACGATTTTGCTACAGTTGGCAATTCATTTACATAAAGTAAAAAGAGAAGAGGACCTAGGATTGTACCTTGTGGAACCCCACTTTTTACAGGTACCTACGAGGAGAGAGTCCCATTAACCCTTACTCTTTGTCTCCCGTCATGGAGAAAGTTACTTATCCAATCTACGACTGTATAATGGATTCCAAAACGTTCCAGTTTGAATTTAAGACCAGAAAGGGAAACCTTATCAAAGGCTTTACTTAGATCTATGAAAATCACATCCACAAGAGCATTCCGATCCTTTGCTGCAGCCCAATCTTCTCGTGCAATGAGAAGATTTGTGAAGCAAGATAGGCCTTTCCGAAAACCATGTTGTGCCCTAGAGAAAAGATTTTGCCCTTCAGCATAGTGTATAACAGCTATCCGAATGATTTTCTCAATCAGTTTTACAACTGCACTAGTTAAGCTAACGGGTCTATAGTTACTAACTAAATCCCGACTCCCAGCCTTGTACACCGGACTTATTATGGCGTCTTTCCAGTCTCTAGGCAGTTTGGACTGTCTCAGAGACATGTCGAATAGTATCGCTAATGGTTCAGCAATTTCATCTGATATGGCTTTCATAATCATAGGATGAATATCGTCAGGACCACTGGACTTATCAGGTTTGAGATGCTGGAGTAGTCTTAAAACAGTATCTTTCTCAATGACTACAGGATCCATCAGCGAGTCGGTCACAGGACGCAGCAACAGTTATTTCAGCTAAGAAAAAACGAACTTCGGCTTTTGATATCTTGAAAACAAGTCAAAACTAAACTGATTTCCATTTTAAAACATAAGACCAACCATTACGTACAAAGATGGCGGATATAATAATTCCCGCCACATTCTGATTGGTTGCTAAGCTGAAAGGCACATTTACGAAATTGAGTTGCGTTTAATTGCAGCCAAACAAGCGGATGTTGTCTACAAGAACTTCAGTAAGTCCTTTGACAAGGTGTCAACAAGTGAACTGTTATTGAAGTTTAAAAATCTTGATATTGCTGGACCTCTCTTATAGTGGCTTGAGGATTTCCTAGCAGGTCGCAGATAAAAAGTAAGAATAAATCCCAAGTTCTCTACCTGGAGACCAATACTTGATGGAGTAACTCAAAATTCTGTCCTAGGCCCTTTACTTTTTATGCCGTATTTAAATTATCTCCCAAGTACGGTACAGTCCGCAATGTTATTCCTTGAAACCCTACTCCAAGAAATACAGATATAGTGCTCGAACTAACAAAATATTGATATCACATAACTGAGCGCAGATTTACCGCCGAGGAAAGTATGTAAACTAGATATGAATAAAAAGCGTGCCCGTCTGAAGCTCGACAGACTTCCTTTTGGAGTAAAAACCTCCCCATCAATCCTTCAACAAGTTATAGATACTATGTTACAAGATATTTCTGGTACCGCGGCCTATCTCGATGATATACTGATCATGTGTACAGATTATACTGACTTAGGGAATAAGGTAGATACGGTTCTCAGACGCATAGCAGATTACAGGTTCAGACCGCGTGCTGAAAAATGTGATTTTTGCATGGAGAAAGTCCGTTTTTCGGGATTCATAATCGATAAAAATGGAAGAAAACCTTATCCTGAAAACATCGAATCTATCACGTTCATGCCTCCACCGACGGATGTATCAACTTTATGTTCTTTCTTGGGAATGGTTAGTCATTATGGCGTTTTTCTTCCAGATCTGCATCGCCTTCGTGCTCCTCTCAACTGCTTACTGAAAAAGGATACCAAAGGGTTCTGGTTAACCGAATGCCAGGAAGCATTCCTAAAACTAAAGCAGCTCCCATCATCAAACCCTCTCCTTACACACTATAATCCAGATCTTCCAATTATAGTCGCAACAGATGCGTCAAACTACGGAATCGGAGCAATAATTTCACATACCTACCTTGACGGGTCTGAGAAAGCAATCGCTCACTCTGCACGATCGCTGACTATGACTGAAAGAAACTACAGTCAGATAGAGAAAGAGTTCCACAAGATGTTGTTTGGCAGTTCACCCTACTTACAGACCAGAAACCGTTACTGGCAATTTTTGGATCCCAAAAAGATATCCCGGTATATACAGCGAACCGGCTACGCGATGGGCAACTACACTGCTGGGCTATGGTTTCAAGATAAATTATCAACCAACAACGGATTTTGGATAGGCAGATGCCCTCTCAAGATTGATTGGTTCGCATACAAAGCAAGAAGAAAAGATGCTTGTAGTCGCCATAGATGTCGAGGCTGAGGTTCACAAAGTATTGGCAGACTCAGATTCCGGACTCCTAGTCACATTCGAAGCCATTGAGGAAGCTAGCAAGAAGAATAATGCATTGAAGATTGTTCGCCACTGCATATCCAACAAGTGGTCTTCATCTAGACTACATGGAGAACTCTTACAATATTTTCGTCGACGAGAGTCCTTAACAGTTGTCTATTCGTGCATCATGTTTAGCCACCGTATCGTCATCCCCAGGAATCTTCGTCACCAAGTCACTAAGCAGTTCCACAGCGGGCACCTGGAGATAAGTTAAGTGAAATCACTAGCTCTCAGCTATGCATACTGGCCGTCAATGGACCATGATATAGAACAAAAATGTCGCAGTTGTCGGTCCTGTCTAGGCTGCGAAAAATCCAACGAAAGCTGAACCCCAACCATGGCCGGAACCGAACGGGCCTTGGCAAAGAATACAAGCTCATTTCGCCGGAACAATACAAGGCAGAAATTACTTGGTTGTTGTCGATGCTTTCACAAAATCGCCGGAAGTATATGGCATGCCAAAAACGACATCAGAGAGTACAATAAGAAGATTGTCAAGATTGTTTGCTTGTTTCGGGACTCCAGAGATTTTAGTGACCGAGAACGGTACTCAGTTTATGTCATCTGCTTTAAAACTCTTTTGCAGTGAAAATGGCGTATCACATCTACAATCTCCTCCGTACCATCCTCAGTTGGATGGCCAAACAGAAAGATTCATGGATACGATAAAAAGAGCTCTTGTCAAAGGGAGAGGTGAGGGCATCCCAGAACATTTGATCAGTAAATTTTTAATATCTTACAGAGTTACCCCTAATCCGGCAATACCAGAAGGAAAGTCACCAGCCGAGTGTATGTTCGGAAGGAAAATCCGGACAGTCTTTAACAGTATGTTGCCGCTCAGAAGGACAAATAAACCCACGAATGAATATCGTACTGTCACTCGCAGCTTCCAGGTGGGTGAAAAGGTACTTGTCAGATCGTATCAAGGTAATAGGAAGTGGAAACCAGGTGTCATAGAACATCGAATCGGAAAAATACTGTACCTAATCCGAAAGGGTGTCGGAAAATGTATAAGACATATAAATCAAATACAAAAAAACGGCAGTACAGTGGTCCCAGAAAACCGGCTCCCATTTAACGCTTGTCCACATATCTCTAATCTTCGGGATTCAGTTCACCCTTATCCTGTCTCAACTGGTGTGGTGTATAGTTATCAACCTGTTACTTGCAAATTTTCAGTTACCCTAGCTTTGTTTCGTACAGGATAAAGAATAAACAAAGAGTTTGTTTGGCAAATAAGTTAGGAAATTGTAAGATTTAACAGTTGTTGTACGTGTTTTTAATGTTGGCATGACAGAATGTTAGTTTGGATCTATGCACAGTTATGAGTTTCAAGTAAACGGCCAAAAATTCAGCTGACGGAAATGGGCAGTGGATTTAGTTGGAGACAGTGACACAACAAATATGTACTATGATATTAAATGTGAATTCGAATTCGCTGACAAAACAACGAGGTCGTACGTTTGGTTTTTAGAACGTTTTTCTTAAGAATACTGGTCTTGATTGATTTAAGCCTTTAACAGGTCTACAATGACGTGTTCTATGTTCTTGTGTTGGGACTTGATAAAGCACATTCCCTGTTCCTCAAATGACCTAGTAACCACTTTCCAAACAGGGAGATTTATCAAAGCGATCACGTGACCTTACTGTCAATCGTCCGGCACATGCAACAGTAAATTAAGTGATGAAAGATAAACCCTTAATCAGGATCAAATGAAAAGAACCCCGACAAAGAAGACTTAAGAATATCAAGTGTGGGTAAACATAGATAAAATTACAAGACGGAGAGAAGAAGCAAACGGATGATAGCACTGCCCGATAAGATGCTATAGATATATTTCCAGCATGTTCTTTCCGTTACAACAAGAAAAACAAAGTTCATTTCAAGTATCAATAGTTTGTTCATAAGTTACAAATAATCAAAAAAATGTATTGCTCTAATAGAAATTGAAACGAATTTCACAACGAACATTCAGTGCTGAAGGTTTCCGGAGCATGATTTCCAAAATAACAAACCGAAACTGTGTAAAACCGAAAATGTTTAAAGTAAGACGTTCAATAGTCATGTCTAACATTTCTTTGAAACACGTATATACAAAGCACCCTGAAAATAATGGAACTTAATAAAACAACTTATGATCATTTATATCCTTTCAGTTCCTCTTATAACACTCCCCACTAGGAGAACCAATATTCATCTCAGAGACTGTAACGACCGAACTGCCAGTATTCGGTTTGGACGTAGGACTAACGAGCCAAAATTTATTGGAATAGGCCAGACTAAGTTCTTCTGTATGGCGTACGAAGCGTTTTTGAGATACTCGTATTAACTTATGTCAAAACACAAACTCTGTGCGCAATTTAAACGGCTCTAATTTGGGAAATGGAACAAGTTATATAAAAAATACAAAATACCTCAAACGGTAAAGCCTGTGCTATACAGTCAAAGGTTTCTCTAACGCAAAGTAGCGCGCTAAACAATAAAAGAAACAGTTAGTACCAAAGGTTTCGATGCCTGAGAATCAGTAAAAATATTCTTAACAGGGATTCCAGAAATCATCCCAAGCAGACAGTCAAAAGGTTAACAGTCACACACTGAACCACGCCGTGACCTTCAGCTTAGCAAACATGCAATAGAAAATTAGGTAACAAAATGTAAGTCTAATCAAAATCACATAAAGAAAGGCTCAGACGAGGAAGACTGAAGAACAAAAGGTGTGGTTAATTAAGATTTGAACACGACAGGGATTATTACTGTTAATTTTTTGCTCAGTCGTAAAAGTAGACCTTCTGATTATCCATAGTCAAAGGCTAAACTCCGACTCCCAGAATTCGATCACAGTGACCCTAAGTAATGGTTTGCTCAACTAGAGCATTATTATACGATACCCAATATCAAATCTGAAGGACTTTGCTATAGAGAGTCATTTTCTATCCTCCCTCTTTCAGTCGCCAAAGGGAGTGACTTGATTTTAAGTCCACCATCACCACAACCATACACCATCTTGAGACGAGGGATAATGAACCGTATATCACTACTAGACGGCCAGAGAATTCAAAAGATTTTCCAAGAAGAAACACTAGATAATAGGTCTCCATCACAGGTTTTACGACGCCTTCAATTCTTAGTGGGCGACAACACAGTGGGTGAAGCAGTCCTAAAACAAGGTTGGATACAAGATCTCTATGCTAAGTCTAACACTGTTTAGATGCAGAATACCCTGACACCTATTTATCTCGTTTGGCGCGTATAGCAGAGAGATAAATGGAAAGAGCTCTCCCAACCGGATCACGCACGATAAATCACACGCAAAAAGGAGGTTCATCAAAAAACCAGGTCATAGAAGGACTCGTTGCTGGTGTTACAAGTATTATTATGTCTGATGCCAGAATGCGGA